GTGCTGATGAAGAATGATGAAACCACCATGGGCTTCTAAAAGAACTAACAAATCTGTCCTGGAGGAAGCGGCAGCCAGAATGCTCCTTGGAAGTGAGAATGGCCAGACTTCACACCTCACCTACTTTGGTCATGTTGTCAGAAGGGACCATTACCTGGAGAAGGATATCACGCTTGGTAAGATGAAGTAGTCAATGAAAGAGGGGAAGGCCCTCAATGAGATGGTTTGATACAGTGGCTGCAGCAATGGGCTTAAGAACAGCACAGATCGTGGAGCTGGCGCGGGACTGGGAAGTGTTTCATTCTGCTGTACGTGGGGTTGCTATGAGTCGGAGATGACTTGATGGCACCTAACAACAATAACAACAAAACCCACAGGACTGTACAACAGAGGGAACTACAGATGCTAAGTTAATAATAATGTATCAATATTGGTTCAATTACAACGAAATACCACATAAGTGCAAGATGGTAAAAGAAGAAATTGTGCAGGAGGTGTATGTAAGGAGGTATAAGGGAACTCTCCACATTCTAGGCAATTTTTCTGTGAATCTAAACTTGCTCTAAGAAAAAAAAAAGTCTATTTACAAAGTATATGTGAACCACTGTATGGAAAGTGAATTTGCTCTGTAAACCTTCACCCAAATCTCTTTCTCTCTCTCTCTCTCTCTCTCTCTCTCACACACACACACATATGTCTATTTAAAAAAACAAAAAAGTGAAGGGAGTCACACACAGGTTGAAAATAAAAGCCATGTGACAAATATGAAGCAACGATAAGCAACAAAGGCACACCCAGCACAGCCAGCAACCTCCAGAAACTAAGAGAGAGCAGGGAACAGTTATTCTCTCAAAGCTTTCAAAAGGAATCAACATGACCAGTACCCTGAATTCAGAATTCTAGTTCCCAGAACTGTGAGAAAATGCATTTCTGTTCTTTAAAGTCTCCCACATGGTGTTAATTTTGTTTTGGCAGCCTTATGAAACAAAGACACTGAAATACTGTCTAGGCAGGCAGTAAGGATACTTGAATTAGTATGCCACGAGTAGAAACTAAGAACAGAGAATGATCAAGGGACACTGTTTATTAGATATTACCACCATGGGCTCTATCCATGTGAGAACCATCCTCCTTCTACTGGGCAGGTATCATTCCCTTCGATGGCACAATTCCAGTATGATTCATCCTTTGCACCCGTAAGCATCTAGCACAGTGCCATGTAAACAGTGAGACACAAAATGTTTGGATGGATGAATAAACAGAATGATCTCAAATCCTAAATACCGGCAAAAGTAGGAATGAATTAAAAGGTTCTGAGGCTGGATGTTTGAATGGCAGTGCCCACTCCAGCAGATATGGAATCAAAAAGAGAAAATATATGAGGGGAGGAGGGCAGGGAGAGGAGATATAAAAAGAAAAAATTTATTGTACTTATTGGTAGCACTCTTTTACCTTTCCATTTCTTCCATTTGCTTTAGCGATTCTCCGCTCAAGGGCAAGGTTCAGAGTCTCTTCTGTCATCCACTTTGGTCTTCTCTTCTTTTCTTGTCTTTTTAG